CACACCTCCCCCCACCCCCTCACACCTCCCCCCCCCCCCGCACACCTACCCCCCCCACCCCACACATACCCCCCCCACCGCACACATACCCCCACCACCTCACACATACCCCCACCACCGCACACATACCCCCCCCACCACCGGACACATAGTTCCAAACTTAAATATCCGGAAAGTGTCAAATTGATAAGTAATCTCTTAGCATCCTTCCTTGCTCCTCTTAGGAAAGATTTTTTTTTAAAAAATATTAAAAGTAAAAAAAGTAGTATGAACATTTATTGCATTACTTAATCAAATACGTCACAATAAAGTTATTTAATTTTTTTTTTTTAAACACGAAAAAAAAAGTTGTAATTAGGTTGAGGAGCACTGAGTTAAGTGGTGTTATCTGAAGGCAGGTAGAAACTGTGTTATGAAAATACATCTATTAGGTTTCTTGATTGCCATCTAATGGGGATGTTGCTCCGTCGACGCAACGTTACGTGGCAGTGTATCTCCACGTTGACAGTTATAAGTGAGGACAGGTGAAGGGTTAAATAAGATATATTATATAACCTTACTTATTTTAAAACGAACTTTAAAAAGTAAGTTAGTAAAAGTAATGATTCTTATTTTTTTAATTTTCTTTGACACATGATTTATAATATCTAAAAAAATTGTTTTAAAACACCCTTATTTAAGTGTGACTACAACGTGATAACTGCACGTTGAAGGTTTATTATCAAAATCCAGTCAGTGGCGTAGTAAGGGTTAGTCTCGCCTGGGATGGCTCGATATTTTTGTTCCCCCTTCCAAAAAAAAAGGTTTTGCAGTTGGGTTAAAAAGCCGCCCAAACCAAAAAAAAAAAAAAAAAAAAAAAAAAAAAAACCTACACCCCCTTCTCTCCCCTCTTTCCACGCCCCTGGATCCAGGTAAAGAAAAGAAAAAGGTTTAGAAAATAATTCGTGACGTATCTGCCCTAAGAATGCATTTTTCAAATTAATTTTTTTTTTTAAAGTCCCCTTTTTGTTTTTGTTGCTTTAATGGGTCACAATAATGTTAATCTATAGAGTTTAATAATGAAATGGAATCTAAAAGGAAAAAAAAACAAAAACAAAAAAACTTGCACCACCATAGAAGATAACCGTTCCTTAGTTATATGAAGTTTTTATCTACTAGTTGCTTCCCTTGTTCGGGTTGTAATTTAATTCATTCCGATTCCTATAGTATTATGGCGACTTTATTGGAGATTATCATCTAAACCAGGCCTGCAAACGTACGGCCCACGGGCCGCATGCAACCCGCCAGCACCCACTTTGCGCCCCGCGAAGTAACGAAATATTCTTTATTATTATTTTAATTTTCTTAATAGCCCCCCCCCCCCCCCCCCAAACGTTCCTATTTTCTTTCGGCCCGCCCAAGTTTATCATAAAGCATTACAGCATGCCTTACATTTTAAGTTGTTCAGGCCCGATCTAAACAAAATGTCGCATCCGTTAACATTTCTCCAACAAGTGACCACAATCATGGTTGAATTTTTTTTTTTTTTAAGGGAAAAGAAAAGGATTGGTGAAACGCATCTTATTTTGACCGAATTAAGTGTAATTAATTAATCTTCGCATGTTTTATCAAGAAATGCTTGATTTCATTTTAGTAATAGACTAGTAATGCAGCAATGGAAACAAGAAAATATATTTTAAAATCCAAAAGATAACCTGATTTAATGTACCATAATTTTTGTGCCCTGAACTGATCAAATGGCCATTTAACATTTAAATTACATTAATGCAAGATTTAAAATAGCACACATTCTCAGTGTTAGCTCGGATTTAGGCCTTTGGGGGTCAAGGGCGTAGTCAGCAAAACAACGCGTGAGCATGTCAATATTAAATTTTCATTAACAAAAACCCTGAAAGTTGTACAAAGTAATTGAGAAAAATCCAAAAGTCTCCAGGAAATAACAAACAAAAAAAAAAGGCTTCTGTTATCTGGCACCATAACCCATGTCGTGTGCTGCCATTTTAAAAGGTGCCTCTGACGTGGTTGTGGTTTTAGTAATAGTAGATCCCTGTCATATGTGGTGCAGTACTAAAGAGGAATCATTTCAGAGGCGTAGCAAAGGGGGGCAGGGGGGACAGATGTCCCCGAGCGCAAGCTAGTTGGGGGCGCCAAAATGTGCTTTGAGATTATTTTATAGATGAAAATAATGGGTTTGAGAGTTGAAAAGAGGGCGCTTTAAAATAAATCTCGTCCCCCGGCCGTGAATCTTGTCCCCGTACACCAAACACTCTAGCTACGCCTCTGAATCATGTAATCCCCTCAGTACTGTCCACAAAAGAGGAGTGTGTCTGTAATCATTTTACGTAGTAATATATACAGATTATATATATATATATATATATATATAAATCCAAGGAATACTCTGTGAGATATTTGCATTTTGTAAACTTGGGTCTAACAACGATAATCAGATAATAATCACCCTCTAATTTGTAGTATTCGGCTCTAACTCAATTTATCATAGATGCATCAAGGGATCAAGTTGGGTCAGAGTCCAATTGAGCCTTGTGGGCCCTGGGCCCATTGCCCAACTATTTATAAATATTGGCCTTGGGTGCATTTATTTCCTTTAGATTGATATCCAAATAACAATGAATTTAAAAAAAAAAAGAATGTTTGAAAATACTGTTTCTCGGATATTTTTTGGATTCCCTCTCTTTCATGTATGTTTAAAGTGTAGTGACTTCCCCTGTAGCTAAGACGCCATCGTCAAGAGTGGTAGCCAATAGAAGGTCAGCATTTGGTACCACATGACCAGATAACGTGTATCTATGAACAGAGAAAAGCTCTGCTATTAAGGAAGACGATCGTACGTCGAGGGTTATAGCTCGGGCAAAGGCGATAGTTTGCTTTTTAATCATCTGGTAAGTTTTTTTTCCAATCTATAATTAAAACCGGGGATGTGGTCAAGTACTATATACTGTCGTACATAAAGGTACTAATGAACAAAGTTAAAATAGTCCAGGCCCAGACCTAAAAAAATACAAAATCGGACTAGTCATTACTAGTAAATTAGTAATACTTTAATACACAAATGTCTAATGAACGTTATCAGTTTAATGAGACTTTTTTCAGTTAAGTTTTGTTCTCAGTTTGTTATCATAATCCTTTAATACCACTGTTGACCGGCATTTTCTAGTGCAAACAAGTTAAAAATTTGCACTGATGGCGTGTATTAGTATTAGTAATATTATAGAAGAGCAGATTTACAGGCTTAACTTGCTTTGAATCTTAGTCCCAGACTTTAAATTTAAGAGAGAAGGTCAAGTCAACTTTTACAATTTTATTATTTTTTTGTGTGGAAAAAATCCAACGTATGAACTAGTTTAGAATTAGTTTTGCATTTTTTAACCTAGCCTGATCAATCCAATCATTAATTGATTATTTTATGTAATGTTCAAGTCCAAGTTCAAGACATCGAGTTAAAATTTAAAAAATTGTACTTAGAATTAGAATAGTTAGATAACTTTATAAAAAAATCTGTGTGAATGTCAAATGTGGGACATATATCTTAAATAACTATTAAAAACATTTGCCAAGCCAACGCCTACACTAAAGTCAAAGTAAAAATATAGTCATTTTAATTGTTTTAAGTTTTTTTCAAAGATTTTCCATGATTATTTTTAACAGTTTCAAGTTTCATTTCAAATTCAGAATGAAAGTAAACCATGTCAAAAATAATGTTGCCCCTCTCAATTTTTCTCTCACACTAACCTTTAATTTTATTTACAATTTTTAAATAGAGATAAGTATTTATAAAGCAGGTATCAATAATCCTTATCATTATATCCATTTCTTTTTAGTGATAATATTATAAAAAAAATAATTTCTTATATTTTTTCTCATTTTAAATTCTATAGGGTATAGGCCAACAATATTAATATTAGTTCGAATCCTTGCAAATGTTTAGCATTAATGATTCCTATATGGTCCACATTAAAAAGGTGCAACGAATAGCTAAATATAACAAGCTTTAATAGTATTAGTAAGGAAATGTTTAATCTCAATATACATGAGACCTACATTAGATAACACAAGTCTAAGAAAGTATTATAATTAACACTTAAGTCATCATTTACTGCAAATAGTTTTCAGAATAAATCTTTAATACTTAATTTTGTGAGCTGTATGAGTCTGACATTAAAGTTGAAATAGATTTGAATTAAAAAATAAATGTGTCATTTTAAAAAAATGAGCATAAAGAGCCACAAAATATGCTCTCATTAAAATAAAGACAAAAATGGAAATCTTTTTTTTTTTTTCATATTTAATAAATGATATTATTTGGTTTTATATTGATTTGGTGCTCTAGCCCATAAAGTTGCAAGTTTTTGCTGATCATGGGTATAATTTGATGATTGACAGCTAGAGTTGTGATATAAATTTTCTATGCTTTTGTGACTACCAACCTCTTTGACTTGTTGAGCCTATTCAGGAATCAATTTCTGTGGTGGAGCCCCCTTTTTTTAACACTAAATGGTGTTTAAGGATAGTATTACAGCAGGGAGGGAGTGACAGAGTAGCCCCTTAATAGTGTACAAAGAGCCCTTGGGGCTTTGCAGAGGACAGATTGAGAATCACTGGTATAGAAACCAGCACACTCACATGAACAAAGAAAATAGGGGGGGGGGGACAAAGGTGGCATATTTTATATCTATATTGAGGGAAGGCTTTTTTAACCATTTCTAAAATTTTTCATGTGGGATGAGGGTGTTAGATGGACGTTGCCTGCTCTAAGTGGCACTAAACCTATCTACAGTACTCTGCAAACATATTGGATATGAAGTAATGAATTCTCTAAAAGGAAATAAATATTCCAATGGAAATATTGTTTAAATAATATATTTTCTCCCAAATGAAGTATTATAAGATAAATCACAATAATTTATTTTAAGATTGTGAGATACTATCAACTTATCTCAGATTTATCTAGCTTAAGATTTTTTCATTAAAAGTTGAATATGATCCAAATTAAAAAAAAAAAAATCATTTCAACTAGAAATAAATAAATGGATGAATATTTTTGGATCCTCTAAAATATCAATTTCTTAAAAGTTGATCACAGTAAGTCATATACTTATGGTTAAGTTCTAAATATTGTCAATAGATTGGCTCAAGTGTTGATATTGTGATAAATAGATAATTAATTCATTTCAAATGTCAAATTTTTATAGCACTACATCTTCTGTCACTGATATGACTTATTTTCTAAACTATTTATATTTTTTGGTCTGTTTAATATTGTTTTTACTTTGCATGCAAAGATGAAAAAGGCGTGAGTAGTAGCCTTGTTTTTTGCTGTATTGTGTTTAAAGTGAGGGAGAGTTGCTTCTTTCGGCAGCCTCACTCTCTTGTCCTTGCCTATTTGAGTCAATGGCAAGACTTAGTCAAGACGACTGGGAATAAACCAGGATGCAGTAAATGACCAGCAGTGTTTTTTTAAATAGTGTTTTTAGATGTTCAGAATATTTTTAGTCACAAGAAGACTTCTTAATGCATACATTAAAATTCGTTTTACTTTAAGCTTTATCCACTATTTTTTTTAATGGTCTTTATAATAAAAATGTTAAAAGAGAACGAATTTACAAAATCATCAAGTGCTGATGCACAAATTACTAGGTTGCTATATCAGTAAGCTATAACTTCTATTAGTTATCAATTCTTTAATAATATTTTTTCTGCTTTTACTTAACAAAAATTTCACTGAATATTAAAAATTGTAACTTATAATTAAAACTATTTTAAAACCCACTGGTATTTGTATAAATACAGTTATGAAGACTTGTTTGTAAGTAGTCATTAATTTAAAAAATACAATCTTTAAAATAGTATTTCTACATTATTATGAAAGGGAAGTCATTTCTCTCTCATCTAATCATAGGAATCAAGTGGCAGCATATTATCAGGGAATTATCTCAGAGCCTCCAGGTCTAAACACTTTAAATACAAAGTCTCTTGTCTTAACAAGCCACTGATAACCCTACTGTAAATTTGCACGGCTTCATTATGCAGTGCTCCTAACAGTTTTGATCTGATATTCAATAGAGAAATCAATGATAGATCAATAAAGGTTTTTGAATTACTGTAAATGCTGTCCCAGGTTACCACTTGGTAAACACTTGCCAGGTTAGCCCACAAAAGTTACTGTTAACCTGGGTTTAGCGGAACAGTAGCACAAGAACACAATGTAATAACATTTTTTCATTTTGATTAATTAATTTTTTTAATTGTGTCCCTTGATTTAAATGGCAAACATACCAGAGTCAATATTTTTAAATGCCACATTGCATGGCTAAGTGAAACAGAAAATCACTCTAATTTGCCTCCCCTATCGCAGCCTTTTTATTCATGATGAGGTCTGACCTAAAATAAACATGAGCACTTTTAAGTGTGGACCCTACTGTAAATATTTTTTATGCTTGTTAGACTGTGTTTGTGCATTTTTAAGGAAATAAAAGTACATGACTGTACAAATAAAGAACAATATTTTTTTACCTGGTATTTTATTAGAGGTTTATCAAATGTTTCAGAGTTTGGTTAGAGGCATGTGTACATATAAAAAACAAATATGCAGTTAAGAAACTGTTTGGTAGTTCTAGGGCTAAATCAGCGCCCTCTTAGTTTATAAAACATTGTGGCAAAACTTTTTTTAAATTTCAACTTACCGACCCCCTCCCCCACTTCACCAGACTGGAAGCCATTGGTCTAATAAGTATAGGTCAGACTTGATTTTTAAAAATTTGAATTAAATTTTATCTCCCCCAACAAACACACACAAACACATACACACATGAGTCTCCAAAAAATTTTTATAAGGGCATCAAATAATAACTTAATAACAATATGATTTAAATGATTAGTAATTTTTTTTAATGAATTCAGTTAATGCCCCATGTCATGTATTTCAGTTTTAGGTATTTTTGGTCTCTTAACACTACTCAGGAATAGGGACTTGCTGTACAGGTATATCAATACCCCCATATCTCAGTGTGGGGGCTGGTTGCTAAGGTTAGAAGTAAACAGACTGTCTCTAAGGCCTATTCAATCTACCTGGCTGCACAGTGTGTGAGGTGTTGTGGTAGATCATAAAGTATTTGTCAATACACTCTAGGTCTAAAGCACATCTGTGTTTGAAATCAGATAATGTGGCTTAAAATATTTAAAGCATGGTTTATCCTTTGGAAAACACCACATTCATTTGAATTATGATCTATAATCCTGAAAACTTAAAAAAGTTTTACTATTAAATGTAGGATTTATAGTTATACAAATAAGGTATAAGCATGGGCTAAATAAATTTTTTGAAGGGGAAATTCATGTGATATTTTAAGGAATGGGCAAATTACATTGGCTTATAACTTAAATCATATATTCCACGCAGATTCTGAAACTTCACAGTTCTTGAAATCAATGCATATTTTATGAGATATGCAGCCTTCTTCCCACTGTCTTAACTGAACAATAATATAGTTCAGTGGACCTTATCTATATATATTTGTATTTACTTACATTAAATTTAATAACTATATAAATATTAGTGACATAGATTAAAATAAGTAACTTTGAACCATATTCAAAGCTAATCATTAAAAATTGCTCTAAAATATTTTTTTTAAAACACTCTTTTGCAAGTTGCTATAAATGCAGAGGCGTAGTGAGAGTTGTAGGTGCCTGGAGACAAGATCCATTTTTAAGCGCCCCCCCCCCCTCAACTCTGAAACACATTAGTTTAATCAATAAAATACTATCAAAGCATAGTCTAGCACCCTGGGACATCTGTCCCTTTAAGCTGCACCTCTGTATAAATTTATTGTAGAATAATTATAAGTTGATGCAGATTTTAGAAATAAAAAGGCCTTTAAACAGTTTTGCAGGAATAAAATAACTTTTTTATTTTATTTGCTACATTGACTCTTTGTAAAAATGCTGAAAGAAATAGGTTACATGAAAACTTTTCTCTATAGGCTGTTTTTATATTATTTTTTATAGATTATAATAATTTAAGCAAATAATGACTGCACAAGTTGAAACCAAGGATGTTGGTGGCTGGGTGCCAACAAAACCTAGAGGTCCCATTGCAGCTATGTACAATAGCCCAGGGCCCTGCTATGCTCTTCCAACTTTGGTAGGACAGCCAGGCCATGATTTTCGCAGTGTCCACCAAAAGAAGCCTGCCTGGGTGTTTGGCATTAGGCATGGAAAATTTCAGGTACATTATTGACAATAATTTAATATAATTCAATATAATTTTTTATCGGCTATCATAAATAGCAAACTGTTAATTTTTTCAATCAGTCAACAAAATTTAATTAAATAATTGCACTGATCAGTGGTTTTGTAAAAAAAATCTAAAATTTGTTATTAAAATTTGCTAAGCCACAAAAACTTATATTTGGTGAATGTATGTACATTTAGAGATAAACCCATTGTGGTTACTATCAGTTACTTCTTGATTGTGTTGTAATAACCCAGCATTTATCTTAATATAACTAAAATTAAAATTATTTACTAAATTATAAATTGTAACTTTAATCTAAAAAGATGACTGATTATGTTGTTAATGCTGGTCATGCAATTACAAAATTCATCATTAAAAAAAAAAAGGTCTTATTGCCTTGGTATTTTCTCTTTCTTTTCAGGATGACTGCAGCCCTGGACCATGCTATCTTCCAACATCAAAGTATTACAGAGATGGCCCTGATGGGACACCACATTACTCCCTCCATGATAGACACAAGGATCTAACTTCCTTTAAGACGCCTGGACCCGGTGCCTACAAACCTGAGTCTGCAGGCGCTCAAGCTGTTAAATGTCCACCAAAATACAGTTTCGGATTAAGACACAGAAGCAGAAGAACAGATGATACACCAGGTTTTTAATCATCTCTGCCTAGTCTGATTTCCCAAACTATCCATTATGAAATCATGTGCAATAAGTTATTCCATCACATAAGCTGTATTCATTTCAACTTAAATCTTACATAAGCTGTATTCATTTCAACTTATATCTTATTTCAAATTTATGTCTATCCTCAATTTTATATTTTAAAAACCTTTCAAGCAACATTAAATTAAATCAGGTTAAATATTTTCTCTAGGTCCTAATAACTACACTTTGCCTGGAATGCTTGGCAAAACAACAGAGTCCCATAAAAAATCCTCCCCAAATTATTCTCTTGTTGGCCGCAGCAAACAAGGAGGCTTTGATGAGGATCTTGCCAGGGTAACTTTTTAGACTTATAAACATCTGTTGTTAACCATAATGTCATATCCAAAAATAAAATGTGTGTGAAGCCCTTATACACCTGAAGTTGGCTATGGAACACAATTAAACATATTACATTTTTAAATAAGAGACATTGCTTTATTGGCATCGAATGATGCATCACAGTTTGATTGAGTTTCTAATCATCTTTAAATTTTTTGTCATTATAAAAAAATTATTATTGACATTAAGAAATTGAAATTCATGTTACAAACAAAAATGTATAAAACTAAACTAAGGTCATTAGAATTTAAATAATGTGTATTTATTAATAACTGATTTTTATTCTGTTTTTAGCCTTGGTACATAAATACAACTTATTATTTATTTACAAAGTAAAACAATCATTAAAAAAAATACTAGTTCTTAACCTCTTGATTGAAGTTCTCAAGTAGTGATTAATTAAGACATGTCAATAAACACTTTTAATTAATTAATTTTGCATTTCATTTTTTTACTTACATAAATTAATAAATGTAAAATAGTAATTTTTCACATGTATTTATCTCTTGATAGACTCCTGGCCCAGGGGCTTATAATGTAACAAAGCCTGATGTTTATAAGCATGCACCACCTCAATTCAGCATGACCAGTCGAAATACCATGCCTGGAGATAGCACACAGAAACCTGGACCAGGAGCTCACTCACCTGAAAATGTGAGTAGCCTAAACTAGTTTTCATTTTCTTTAACCTGATTCACCATGCTTAAATAGTTATAAAATCAATTTTTGTCTAGTCATAGGCATTATAATTAGAGATATTTTGTATAAGTCATATACATCAACCTGCTTGATCGAAAAAAAAAAAAAAAGAAAAGTTTAAATAATTATAATTAAAAAATGTTGATTACTTTTTACAAATCACCTATAATTGTTTTAAATGCAAGCAATCTTTGCCCTTTATTAAAAATGTCTGGATTAGTTTTGAATCTCAACCACCAAATCTCCATATGCACACTATAAAAAATCGAAGTCATTGCCTACATCACCATTTAATTTCTATTATCTTTTTGAAATGTTTTAAGCATGATTGCTCATAGATTCACAAATTTAATTAAACGTGTCCAGCTGGTGAAAATAAAAAAAAAGATAATTATGCATAATTCTCTCTGAGGTCAACTCTAAATGAATAAGACAACTTAGAAGAGTGCAGCCAGTTTAGTTTGAGCTAGTGATTGTATATTAAATCATTCCATAATAAACCTTATGAAAATATTAATATTATTATTAGAATACTATAAATTAAAAGAATACTAACAACAGACATAAATCTTACAAAATTGGCTTGTTATTTTTCATTTACTACCAAATTAAATGTTCTCAAAGTTCCAACTATGATTCTCAATTATGCTGTCTATTCACAATAATTCCCTCAACATATAAAAACATTAAACCAAAATTCTATAACTGTTTGAGTAAACACTTCATAACTAATCAGAAAATGAAAAATTATCCTCAAAGAATATGTAAATCGTATCACTTGGCATGTTAACATTATTTTAAATGATTATTGTCATTTTCTTTTCAAACTTTAACTTCCTAATGTTGATATAAGAAGTTAAGAAGTTAAAGACACAAAAGATATCTTCTTAAGAAAAAAAACATTAGAAGAATTATTTCTTTTCTAAAATGAAACATTTTTAATAATGTTTTAAACTTTCTTTTAAATGCGAAATTCACTTACAAACCATTTGATTTGTTTTGTTTAAGGTTTATGTAAACAAGAGATCTGCCCCACGTTTCACTCTGGGAATCCGTCACTCACAGTACACTGCTCCCTTGATTGTCCCTGCAGCAGATGACTGAACATTTTTAAACATTTAACCAAACCCCTATGTGAAAGTAGATTATTGGCACAAATAAATTCATAAAAAATTTAAATTTTATATATTAAGTCAATGTAAAAAGTGTCTTAAGGATGTTATATTTCAGGTAAATGAAAATGTCAGTGTTCCTACTATAGAGTAAAAGAAACATTTTTAAGTTATTGTATTTTCTACAATAAATTTTTAGTTAACCTCTAAATGCAATTTGAAAAAGGAAGGTTTAGAAGCTAAATGCTTTGGATCTGTAATGAAATTTTTTCAAGGATTTATTATCAAATTTATCAAATTTGAAGTTCACATATTTAGCTGGATCATATGTCTCCTGCTATAAGGAAAGAAATGTACACATGCTGATAAAGTAATATACCAATTTATTTCTGATCACCTTAACTACAATATGCTGTTTATCATTTCCTGAAAGGGCAGAAATTCTGTCTTTTCAATCCATTTTTAGTAAAAAATGTTTACTATGTTAACATTACATATTTACATGATGAAAGTTTGCAGTTAAAAATATTCATGCTTCACCCTTTTTACTGAAATGAAAGAGGCTTTCGTTTGAAACTTTCCAATTAATTTATTTATACTAATTTTCCCACCATTATTTGTAACTTGTATATAGCCTACATTTGTTGAGATGTACACATAAATACAGTATTTAACTGCTAAAAGTAAACATTTCAGGCAATAATTATCTATTCCATTATTACTTTAGTTTGCAATTAACACTACCATTGGCCAATTGGTTCTTTGGTAAACTTATTATAATACTTAGCCAAGGAAATATTTCCCTCAAATGTTTGGACAGACTATCATGTCTGCAATCACATTCTACTTACATTGTATTTTTTTTTAAAGGATCAATTAGACATTTTTTAGAAACAGTATTACTTTTGAGCATTCAAAATTGAACAAAAAAATTTACAAGCTTTTTCAGTATTGTGTCTCAAAATTAATTTGAGGGATGTCAACAGTAACTGATGTTCATTAAGTAGTTCTTTAAAATAGCCAAGATTATTATTGCCCGCTATCAGAACAGCATTAATGACAATATTTAATTGTAGAACCACTAAATGTTCAAAGGCAGTTGTGAAGCATTGATCAGTTTTTTTAAAAAAATGAGTATTAATGTTAAGTATTATTGCATAAATAGATTGTCTGTCTGTTTATAAAATTATTTCTTTTTGATCACTGTATAATTTGATGTGATTCATCCTGAAGCTGTTAAACCTTAACAAAGTTACATACTGTTACATGTAAATGTCATCTCATAAATTTTGTATTTGTAAATATAAAAAGGGGACATTTTCACTGCACCTCAATTTTGTATTTACAGTATGAGCAGTTAAATTTTTTTTTTTTTTTTAAATAAGAAAACAAAATTAAATTTCAGAAAGGAAAACTGCTACTCAACAATGTGCTGTTGGGATTTCATGAATGCAGATATTAAAGAGCTATTATATTGATTTTTTTTTTTGTATTTGTAAATATAAAAAGGGGAAATTTTCACTGTACCTTAATTTTGTATTTACAGTATGAGCAGTTAAATTTTTTTTTTTTTTTTTAAATAAGAAAACAAAATTAAATTTCAGAAAGGAAAACTGCTACTCAACAATGTGCTGTTGGGATTTCATGAATGCAGATATTAAAGAGATATTATATTGATTTTTTGAAATAATAAATCAATGGTACCTAGATCATTCTTTAATTTAACACTTTATGATTATCCAATGCCTTATCTTGAGAAACGAATTTATGTAAGGTGGACAGGTATGGCAACAGCTCCATTTACTTTTCATTATTTCCATCTTTCTTGCTGTGTTTTATAACATATGATATCAGGTGGAATCTCTCATTTCTGAACCCTTGACTCACTCAATAAATTTTTTTTCTTCCTCTTGCATGTTCTCTATCTGTAACTACTGTAGCGGTGAGTTTAATAGAGGCATAGTTGCTTTTATATAATTGTGAGAGTTACTCCAAAGTATTAGCCAATATAAAAGTTAGTTTATGCATTCTCTTATTAAAATTTTATGTATACACATTTTTTTGAACATGTGAAATTAAAGAAATTATCATGAAAGTAATTTCTTGTCATTCCATTCTTGAAAGTAATAGTTTTGCAGCCATTTAATTTCAAATATTTATTTATTTAAATTTTGGCTTTGCAAACGTTCATTTTTTTCATTTTGGAAAAAATGAGCTACTTTGTCAAAAATTTGATATATTTGACACTGTTGATGGAGATATCGTGAAAAAAAAAAGGAGACGATAACAAAATGGTTGAAAATAATGAAAGTTGGCAGGTAATAAAAAATAAAGGATTCAATATTTAAGGGAACACAGAATAGCAAAAAATGTAGCGAGGCAAAGTTTAGGGCACAGTCATAAAGTAAAACCACGAAGAAGTCTGTCAGGAAATTTGATTGTGCGTCCCGAGGCCAATATCCCCATCTCTGAGAGCATCAGTCATCATGGCAGTGAACGAGACGCTTGATAGTGTTGGCGTCAGGGGCGTAAACTTGTTTAACGTCATTGTCCACAGGGATTCGTTTAGACGTCTCTCCATTTCCACAGCCAAGCCACATACCATTATGAAATTTACTGCACCATGGAAATGAAATTTCTAGGGCATCCATAGAGGGCATATGTCTTCAAAAGACTATCTGTGCCACCAGTTTTGGTCAGGTCTACTTGGGTGGAGAAGTGGTCAATATTCTGACATATTTCGTGCAGCCTGAAAGAATTAACATAAATGGGAGAGACTGCATTCAGGCTAATCCAAAGGAAAAGAGCGAAACAAATTATGGGAAAACGTGACAAAAAAAGACACAATAACGTACGAGTCGGCAAGAGGCCTTCTTCATCGAGCAAACAACAGTAAAAACAATATTTAAAAAATTAGCACTAAGCTGTGTTGTAGTATCCGAGAGGACATCAAGAGGAATATGATAGAAAATAAGTAGGTGAGAGGACATCAAGGGGAATATGATAGAACAAAAGCAGGTGAGAGGACATCAAGAGGAATATGATAGAACATAAGTAGGTGAAAGGACATCAAGAGGAATATGATAGAAGATAAGTAGGTGAGAGGACATCAAGAGAAATATGATAGAGCATAAGTAGGTGAGAGGACATCAAGAGGAATATGATAGAACATAAGTCGGTGAGAGGACATCAAGAGAAATATGATAGAACATAAGTAGGTGAGAGGACATCAAGAGAAATATGATAGAGCATAAGTAGGTGAGAGGACATCAAGAGGAATATGATAGAACATAAGTAGGTGAAAGGACATCAAGAGGAATATGATAGAACATAAGTAGGTGAGAGGACATCAAGAGAAATATGATAGAGCATAAGTATGTGAGAGGACATCAAGAGGAATATGATAGAACATAAGTAGGTGAGAGAATATAGGACGGAAGAGGGGAAAGAGGAGGGGCGGAGAAAAGGTTTAAACAGCGAATTAGAGCATGACATTCATGCCCTGTAGTCAGGGCCAGAGTATTTGGCACCCTAGGCGAACCTCTCGCACTGCGCCCCCCCCCCCCACGCCCACGGCAACTAATTATTTAATTAATAGTGCCGCCCCTTAAAAATTTGCCGCCCTAGGCGGCCGCCTAGTTCGCCTAATGGTTAAACAGGGCCTGCATGTAGTGTCAAGTTTCCATAAGTCTGAATCAGTTTGTTGTCCCAAATCATCCTGTTTGATGTTTTTATGCAAGACATAATGGCGGTGATAGAAAAATCAGCTGATCCCTTGCGGTCGCTTCTATTGAAGTGTTTTGAGACGTGACGCTGCTATCTGGTGCAATATAAGTGGAGGTGTTCAATACATCTATCACAGAGGCGGCGACCGGTCTCATTGAGATACGCCTTCTGGCAGGGGTGCAAATAATCGAGGAGACAAGAATGCGGCTAGTAGGCCTACAAAGGAAACCCTCCCTTATATGAAAACTGCCCTTAAGGAAGGGAATGTCTGGATGACAAAAGGGCAAGTGTTGCAACGGCTGCGTCCACATGGCTTGGTCCGCAAATGTGTGTGGGGGGGGGGGGGCAGCGCGGGTAAAGAACAAGGGGCATGGGCTTATATCAATCTCTGATCACTGCACATTTTATTTAACCATTTACATTTTTAAACATTTAACGATCAGAACTTTTTATTTCTATGCAGATTGTAGTATTACCCAGACGTTTCGCCTTCTTGCATGAAATTAACAAGAACAAAACCGAGAGAATTAGATTTAACAGCTATGGCTATTCCGCAATCTCAGAAAGAATTTTAATATATCTTGAAATCAAAAGTATTAAAGAAGATTCAGAAATTATTTAGGATTTTTGTTTTGTTTAGTAAGATAATTAAAAATAAATATATAAAAAAAATAAAAGCGAAATCTACATCGAAAGTAACGGTTATCTACTACTCCCTGACAAAAATGCTATTTAGTTGGGTTTTTTTTTTTTTTTGTTTAAAAAAAAAATTAAAAATATATATATATATATATATATATATATATATATATATATATATATATATATAAAGCTGTAGTTAAAAAATAATATAATTTATATTTTCTCCTTTAATTAATCTTTATTATTATCGCTATCCATTTTTTGCATGGAAACTAGAAAGCGCTTATTAATTATTAAATTAGTAAATTAGTTATAGTCTGTGCTATTTTTTTTTTCTTTTATTTTTTTATAATATTAATATGGATGACTTTGTACCGCGCTTCGAGCCTTTTGGGATGAAGCGTAATTTTCAAATAAGCTTTATTACTATTATTATTACTATCATTATTTAGTACAAAGTTGTTTTTAGCTTTGCAAGAGAAAAAATAACATTTTCCGTAGGTCTACAGATCGTCCAATGAAATGAAGAGAGATTTTAAAATAATAGAATAAACAATCAACAAATTATTGAATCTTGATTAAATATTATTTTTTTAAAAATATTGATACAAATAGCATTAATCCGCTTGAATTTCCAGTAAAATTTTTATGACGTAATCCGTTGTCACAGTGAATATAGCAACGTTTAATATTTTAGTTTACTAAGTTGGGAGTAGGGGTGGGAACCAATACGAAAAATATTAAAAATAGAACCACTTTTTAAATTGTCTCTGTTGGAAACATGGGTCATGGGAACAAGAAAATCGACAACCATCAAGTGAAATGATAACGCGGCTAGTTGTTACATAGCACAGGTGAGCTGAAATGAAAAGAAAGAGTAAGAGTCATCCAGCTTAGACTGCTTCGTCTTCGTATACCACACAATCGGAGCCATGTGGGCTTTGATTCTTTGATGTTCCCGGCACTCATTTTGATCATTCGAATGCGCTTTTGTCTGTACTCCGTGATTAGGATTTGGAACCAACACAGTTCCACCAATTTGGGCTATCAACTACCATATTACAAAGAAAAGTTTTCATCTTTTTAAATTAGGTAACGTCTATTTAGCCTAAACTATTTTTAACACATACACGTCCATTTTAGATTTTACTACATTTGCTGATTTAGTTAAGAATCAAGGAGTTTGTCATGTACAAATAACAATGAATCCCATGTCCCATGATAGTAGTGGCCATCATCATCATATTATAACTCTTTTATAAAAAAACTCTGATGCTGTTAATTATTGATTACTTTAGACTATTTCAAATAGTCTTTGAAATTGAACAAAAAAGTTCAAGGCAACTTCAAAGTGTTTATTTGATTAGGGCTTAGACTTAGGCCTTAATTAACAGACACTTCTAGGTGACCAAACTTACCAAGAATTTAATCATACATTTACATCAACATGAAATTACCTACCTTGACTGTTAGTAGTCAGAGGAATTTCAGTTTCAGTTAAATAATCACACAACCCTTTGCTGAAAGTCAGCTCACATTTACTACACTATACAGATGCTGATGCTGCCAAATCATGCATTATGCATAAATGAGGTAGTGGTGGAGTACAGCTTACAGCTATAACACAATACTGTATTTTTTGGCATTTATTTTTTTATTTTATTTATTTTTGTTTTCTCTTTGTGATAAAATTTAAACATTAATTATTCTTTTTTTTCAGGATTATTATTGAATTTATGCAGCTCAAAATACTGGGATCTGCAACATCACTGCATTCTTAGCCCCAATATTTATTAGTAAAATTAAATTTGTGGCTGAATTCAATTTCTCACGATGGTGTATGAATACACAAAACCAAGATGTCCCATTGCAGCAATGTATTCCTCCCCTGGGCCAGCTTATGGTCTTCCCACTCTGGTAGGGGAGAAGTGCCATGACCCTAGAAGTGTACATTACAAATATCCAGCTTATTCTTTTGGGGTTAGACATGGAAAATTTAAAGATGGCACTGGTCCTGGACCCTGCTACTATCCTAATCCAAAAGTAAGTCAGATGTAAATTTCAATTTATAAAACTATCTAACAGTCTTTCCCTTTAATAACATATATTAGTTACCATACATACATTTTTTCTTTCTTCTGAATTAGAAATACTTTCATAAGGAAATTATGAAAAGATTATAATTGTATTCATAGTTGGGAAAATAAGGGGTGGGGCTCATGGTGTGACTGATAAACAGTGTAGTTTAATTTAATATCAATATCATATATGAAATTTTAATTTTGATTATAAGTCAACATACTCTATAAGCTAGAAAGTTTTTGCTGTTTTTCAATCAGGGTGTCTGATTATGGGCTGGAACTCAGAGACTGGTATTTCTCACTTTTGGGCTGTTCCCTAAACTTGGCTACCCAATCCCACCTCTCTCTAACCTGCTCTTCCTCACCTCTCCCACTAGCCCTACAGTCTTATCTCCACCCTACCCTTCATTCTACTCCACATCTTACCCCTATTTTCTCAAACACTAACATTTCTGCTACCTTCTCCAACCCAAACTGCCAATGCCCCCCCCCCCCCCCCCCCCCAATTATCACTCTTATTTTTTTTTCAAATTATAAATTATCAAGCAACCTTCTTTGTTTCCAAGTGCCATTTCAGATCAGATTCCTAGGAAATTAATCTTTGATTGTACAATAACATGTGACATGTTTATTATTATTAGGTTTATCGTGATGGTCATGATGGCACACCCCACTATTCATTATACGCCAGACAAAATGACTGCAATGCTTTCAAGACACCTGGCCCTGGTGCATACAGTCCTGAAAATGCTGGCGAGTCAGCTCACCATCGACCACCAGCCTATAGCTTTGGATCACGAAACCGCCACCGCCAAACTGATAACATCCCTGGTAAGTGAGAACACAGAATTTAAAGAAAATGAAGCAGCAGAATTGTTGATGTTATCCTGATTGTAGATTAGCCTTGTATTAATTGATTTTGGTTTCTGGATTACTTAATTTTTATATTGCTACAGTCATTGTAATAATGAAATTCACTGGTTTATATGAGTCGAGAAGGAATTTAAATGATATTTGTTAAGAAAACTTTTAGCATTTAAATATGATTTACAAATAGAATTTTATTTCTTTATGGTGTCATTTTGAAATATTTTATACATTTTGCAAGTTACATTTGTGTGTTTGTTCATACCATATCACTGTACGCTATAGTGTTAAGTGTTGTTTTTTTTAACATCAGGTGTGATAAGGGAAGAAAAATAGTTACACATGATATTTTATGTTAAGGCTTTGTTGGTAATTCATAAATCTTTTCATGTGCAGCTCCCAACAGCTACTCACTGCCAAGCATGATTGGACCCACTGTTCAAAGCGGCAAGCCTCAGGCTCCTTGCTACAGCTTGCGTGGTAGACTTAAAACAGATGGCTTTGCAGGAGACCTAAATAGGGTAAGGACATAAGACATTTTCTGTAGCTTCATCTTTATTATCATATTGGTTTCTTTATTTTTGACAAAGTTTAAAAAATGTTACTTTAAAATTGCTTATGCATGTTATAGATATATATAAATACTTCTATTTCATATAAACATTTGTATTTAAATATAATTCACATAATATGTAAATGTCTATAACATTGCTTGAAAAATATGGAGCCTTAATAATTTTGTGTAGTTAAAGATTTTATTTTTGTAGGACTTGTTTTTTTTCATAACTTATTTTTTCTGAGCTGCTGTGCATGTACAATCAGATTCTTTTTCCTACCTCTAGGCCCCAGGTCCGGGTGCATACAATACCACTGATCCTAGTATTTTTAAAGATAGGGCCCCACTGTACAGTATAACAGGCAGGAACATGATGGTTGGAGATGTTACACAGAAACCTGGTCCTGGAGCCCACATGCCAGATGCTGTGAGTAACTTACCTGTTATGCTTTGTTTAAATTTGATGATTATTTAATTACAACAATTTGCATAAGCTTCTTTTTATTAAAAAAAAAATAAGGTCCTTATAACTCTAATTATTTTAAAAAAATAATGCCGTAAAGATTAAATTATTAAAAAAATTAAGGCCCTAAATGATTAATTATTTTTTTAAAAAGACCCTAAAAGATTTAATTATTTAAACAAAATAAGGCCCTAAATGATTTAGTTACTTAAAAAAGCAGCGTGAAGAAAATGAATGAAGAAATGAATTAAAAGATGAAAAGGATTAAATGAAAAATCGTAAGGAGCTTACATTTAAACTTTACTAGCAAGACGGAATATATTACACTGAAACTACTTAACATTTTGGTAAAAACAGTTCTTGAAATGTTAACAAATTTGTATTAACTATTTTATTATCACTTTTTTTAGAATTGTGTGAGAGAAACCAAGCCAGCCTACAGTTTTGGCATTAAGCACTCACCTTACCTGACAGGTCTAGTGGTTGATATTCCCAGTATTGAATGCCAACCTTGTGATTAAGATCTAATTATATGAATGTCCTATCAAATGGCTAAATGGTATGTGTGCTACCTCAGGAACTACATCATTTACCACAAAAAGTGAGTTTTATCACTTTATTATACTAACAATTAGATTAAGTTAGTGTTTATTTGTTTCTCTTAGTCTAGGCAAATAATAATTAGTCCATAAACTAATGCCAGGAATTTAGATTTTTTGTGTGCGCTTTGATCATTATTCGACGTATTTCTACCTCTATAGATATTTATTAAAAAGTCGAAAATGATAGGCCAACTCTGTTTGATGAGATTAAATGTGAAGTCATCGAAATCTTAGGGACTTTTTAATTTAACTGCAGAAGATTCTACAGATTTTTAATTTTTTTTTAGTCTTGTGTTAAATATGAATCAAGAGTATGTTTATTTATTTATATTGACATTATTTAATTTTAAATGTCTAATACTTTTATTGAAATTTTGTATTACAGTTACTGGATCAAAATGTGACCATCAGGTTTGATAATTTGTCTGTAGATCTTGGATCCCACATTTTTGAATCATCAAATGGTAAACTATACTTAACTTTATCCAAATTATCACTTTCATTTATTTTATGTTTTATTTAATGGAAAAGACTTAAATTAAACTCTTTCATTTGTAATCTATTATATACTTTGAAAATGTGCACATCACATTAGAATTTGTTTCTCTTATCTCAGTGAAGCAAAAAATATTTTAAAAATCATAATACTATTATCTTTGTTTTTTAAAAATTCAATGTAACTTTATCTAATGAGAAACATTGAAATGATTTTAATTTTATATTGACAGAATATGAAATAAGGATTGCCATCAAGGGAACATCTGTTTTTTCCAATCAAAGAAGAGAGGAACTAATAAATATATTATAAAGCATACATTTTTAACATCTCTTAGTCTCAGAGTATTTTTAAAATGTGAATATGAAATAAGGATTGCCATCAAGGGAACATCTGTTTTTTCCAATCAAAGAAGAGAGGAACTAATAAATATATTATAAAGCATACATTTTTAACATCTCTTAGTCTCAGAGTATTTTTAAAATGAGTTCTATTATTATAACTATACAAAAATTTTCTCTTTTAATTTTAAATATATTTTGGATCTTGGTAATTGATTGGTTAAGCCATACTTTTTTCAACTTCATGTTATCTACTTGTTTGACCACATTCAAGTAACCTCACAATTTGTCTTCTACTTATTTGGTTGAACAGGCCTGCTCAGATGGAAAACTGTAATATTTTAGTAATTGGACATACTCCTAAACTGTCATAAGATAAACATAATTTTTTTTATTGCTAATACTATTACTAATATTAAGTTTTTAATCCAGTGTTTTTCCATTGATGGCAAAAAGCCATGGTGACCTTTTAAATTATAACTTTTAAATCTTATGAGCAATGCTAAAAATTCAATCACACTTTTTAATATTTATTAAAGTTACTATTGGTAACTGTGTTTTATACTGAAGTTATTTAGGAAAGGCATTAGTTTTAATGAATACAAAATAATTCATCACACAAATTATTTGGAGAACAATACAGTTTGGTTTTTTCATATTTTATTGGCTGACAACAATAAATTCTACTTTCTACCAATAACTGGCAACTAAAGCTGAAACTATGTAGTGTGAGGAGATGGAAATAGAAATGCAACAACTAAGGATAAGCTGACAGTGAGACAAGTCATATGTAAAATAATCAGCAAGTCATATAAGGAAAATAACCATAATAAACTTTATAAGTAAAAAGTTATCTAAAAGAAAACACTTAATAAATGCATGTTCCTTGTTCCTTCATATAAGACTAGGAAGTCAATTTAAATGGATTCTCTAATCACATTTTGACACTTAAAACTTTTCATCTTTTCCATAAAATTAACATGGAAAACAGAAAAGTAGAGCACAAAAAATTTTCGTGATCTTCATATAAGACTAGGAAGTCAATTTAAATGGATTCTCTAATCACATTTTGACACTTAAAACTTTTCATCTTTTCCATAAAATTAACATGGAAAACAGAAAAGTAGAGCACAAAAAATTTTCGTGAGATTTTAAGGTACTAAGGACCAAGGCTTTTTATTTTAAGAGAATACAACCAGGCAAAGCTTAATAATATTTGTAAACATAAAATAGAAAAAAAAATTGATTACTATTTAAATGTTCGAATGCACAGCAGACATCAAAAAAGACAAAATTACTATCTGTTAAAACCTTTAGACTTAATATTCATGATATGACACAGCAAATGAACCTGAAGCAAAAGAATCCAATTAGTGTTTCAGTATAAGTTAGTACTTATTTGACGGGCAAATTATATATAATCCAAGTAGTATTCATAAGATCTCTGAAAAGTTTTTATATGTAAGAAGAGAAAAAATTAGCATTACTTTAACCAATTTTTGGGGACTGGTCAGGAAGCAGCAGTAGGTACATTAATTAAAACATTTTATATTTTCAAAAACATTCAGCAATTTTTTAATATCTGAAAACAAGGAATAATTTTATTAAAAACTTTTAAAGTTAATGAGTGAATGTAATTTTAATTTCTTGTTTCTTTTAGTTTCTGAAACAGAAATAGGGATTTAAAAAAAAAAGTACATATTTAACACAATATCACATCACAATGCCAATAAATAATATTAAATAAATGAAGAAATATTTTCACATCTTTCACAAGGACATAAATTCTTAGTTTATGCAATAAAATATTTAATATTTTTATCATTTATAAAGAAACAATATTAAATGTTATATTTAAATAATGATTATAGTTGAGTATATTTTAAATGTGAGCCAAGTAGAAAGCACCACTAAAAAGCATTTAAAAGTATAATTACATATCAATTTTTAAAAAAATGGGTGGCCGAGCGGTCTAAACTGCCTCAAACCAAAAAGCCGGTGGTTCGGAGTTCAATCCCCACCAAAGCCATCCCAAGCACCCCGGGTGGATGGGACTCGTTAGCCTTGGACGGCAACCCATCTAAGAGAAGGCAAACTCTGAATTTAAGCCAGAATGATCAACAAATTGATCGTGGGCCCCTTTAATAAAAGAGAAAAAAATGTAAGATGGGTATGAATTTAATAAGCTCATTAGTAATAAGGCAATAGAAATTAAATATTTAATTTTTTAATTGGTAAAATTTGTAAACTTAATAGATTTATGAAACTGTAAAAGTTTAACAATATAATGACTTGTTTTCTTAAACTTAATATGTTATTTGTAGGCCTACTATGAAATGTGATACAAGAGGGATAATATGGTGAAGTCAGTTAATGTGGAAGCTACCAGAGAAGGATTTCTTGAAAATATCAAAACTTTAAGAGTTTCAGAATGCTGCTCATGCAGGATCAATATTGTGCGCATGCAGAAAAGAACTGAAGGTTTACAGTGTTTAACCCTAAATAACTTAAGTTCTTAAAAACCAATAAAAAGAAATAAGTTTACATAAAAAAAATAAAAAATTCAGCTTTCTAATGAGTCACAGAGGTTTTTTTCTATAAGTTTAAAAATGTAATTTTGATGTCTTTCAAAGCAAAATACACAGTAAAATGTGAGTGAAAAAACAAGGAATCAGCGTATTGCTGTTTTACATTTGCATAATTTCACAACCAATCATGTTTAAAAAAGTTACGTTGACCGAAATATTGATGATTATATATTAAAAAAGAAGCATAAGGAAAAAAATCTTTTAAGGAATATTAACATTAAAATCCCTTTTAAAAAATGGTCTCAATGGTGAAAGAGTATAAAAAATGTTTGTTTACTTGCAAATGTGAATATGAATAATTGTATTTTATTGCGCAACAACAAGAAGTCAAATAGGAATTGTTATTAAACTATTTTGTTCAAAGATTGAGTGTATTTCTTCACTTAAGATTTTGTAAATTACGCTTACAAATGACCTGGAGAAGGCACCTACATCTATAGACATAAATTGTATGAAAAGGGAAAAGAAAATATTCAGATTAAATAGAAAATTTAAAGACCAATAAATATAGCTGCTTTTATAGACCATATAATAAAGTTAATAAAAATTTCTTCAAGCAGGTAGCACAGGTAATAGCTTCAATTATTAATATTACATCAGATTTATTCATAAACTCAATGAACAGAACATCTTTGAAAATTAAAAAATTTAGAATTTCAAAGAGAAAAAACACAGAAAAGGAGACAACATTCCAGTACTGTAAAGAACAGGTGTCAAGAGTATGATAACTATTTATTAGGGTTTATATTGCCTTAAAGCTTAAGTAGATTCCTTAGACTATACTAAGAATAAAGGGTGTACTGATTTACTAAACATATTTTTTTTTGTTATTGCTAATCTACAAAGATTTTACAGCCCATAAAGTTCAGTAACTCTTGTAGGGACAATAAGAGGTGAATTAAATTTTCTGTCTCAAGAAAAATAAAAGAAAAACGCGTGAAGCATTATATTTTTCAGATAAAAAAAATATGATCAGAAGAAAATGTTAATCTAATCCATCTTTTCTGAGAAGCAAAATGAAACATGACTTAGCTCAAAATCCCAAAGACAGCCGGGAGGGAATTAATGATTACACAAAACCAAGTGGAGCAAGAAATCTGGAAAAGAAGGTGGAGCTGGATAGGTCATAGCATGAGATGGTTAGGTCAAAGCATGAGATGGATAGGTCAAAGCATGAGATGGATAGGGCATATGAGCTGGTATGGAGCCTTCTAAGATCAACTATGTCCCAGTACTGTTATGGAAGTTTCAATGAATCAGCTCTGTCCCAGCACTGGTATGTAACGCTCATTGATCAGCTCTGTCCCAGCACTGGTATGTAACGCTCATTGATCAGCTCTGTCCCAGCACTGGTATTTAACTCTCACTGATCAGCTCTGTCCGAGCACTGGTATTTAACCCTCACTGATCAGCTCTGTCCCAGCACTGGTATTTAACCCTCACTGATCAGCTCTGTCCCAGCACTGGTATTTAACTCTCACTGATCAGCTCTGTCTCAGCACTGGTATTTAACCCTCACTGATCAGCTCTGT